CAGCCTGGCACAAACGACTCGATTAGTTCCGGCTTTGATGAAGGTCCGCCTTCCCAAAAACAAAATGTGTTATGATTGGTTAGCTGTCCCAGTGCGTTGTGATTGGCGAACAGCTTAGACTGTGTTTCAGTACTGCCACGCCCCCTTGCTCCGTCTTTCAACAAAAGCTTTTTGGCGAATCTGGCAGCACTGTACTCTCTCATGTTGTGGAAGCTGTCCTCAGTAAAATGCGCAGCACACAATAGCAAATTGGGGTTATAATGCTCAGGGACAGAGTTCAAAAATAAATTGCAACCACTGTTTCCTGACATTATCCGCTTTTGGAAGCCCAAACAAACACATTTGGGCATGGAGGTGAAAAAAACAGCGTTTCAGGCGGTCACGCACCGGACGAGAAGCGCAGCGTCGCGCCACGTCTTTAAAATTCAAATACATTATTTTCTATGAGTGTAGGCACACCGGCGGTGCCGTTTGGCGTCTGTCCGCGGCGCCCAGCTACTTCGTGTTGTACTTGTAAGAATTGTTCTAGACATGCCGAAAATTTGAAGCTACAGCACTGCAGCTCTTCTTCTTCGTTTTCTCTGATGCACTAACTCTGCAGCAGCACTTCTTCGTCGTCTCGTCTGATGCACTTACTCAACCAAGCGTTCTAACCACAACCTCGCCCCTCCCCATCCCCCAACCATTCGAATTTCTGTAGGCGGGAATTATTTTTAATGATATTCTAATGGGCCGCTTTGTGATATCACAAAGCCCGGAAAACAAACGCTGTAGTCCAAACGAGCCGTTCGTTGTAGTTCTTGAAATGGGATTTTAAAAACGAAATAGCTTCCTTTGGAGTGGACTCTTTTTTATGCCCAAACATACACACTACACACTGACTAAAATTAAAAAAGTGAAAAAGCATAATAGAACCGCTTTAAGATTATTTGTTTGTTTTTAACACCATGCCAGCTTCTGTGGCTATTTTCATGGCCAAAAAAAAAAAAAGTCTGAATTATATCATGTTTTTACAATTTATTTTTGCTAAAAAAAAAACTCTAAACCTGTATTTGGCTTAACTCTGTTAAAAATCTCTTCAAAAGAGTTAAAATGTTTTCTCACAGAGTTAAAACCAACACAATGTAATAAAACATGCTTCATGGATAAAGGGTTTTGGCAGAGGCAACATGTTTGGAGGATCTTCTAGTTTTAAAAACTAATGTGTCATCCTGGGGCCCGTTCTTGGTACGTTGCTAACTCAGTTAGCTGGATTTGATTGTTGACGATTTGGCACGATCTTGTATTATTTGGTTCTTCGAAGCTCATCCCGGAGTTGCTGTCATAGCAACAGGTCCATAAACTTAAACCTGCTCGGGAGCAGACTTATTTCATGTAAACAGGATTAGATTGCATCTTTTTAAGTGGAGCTGATACCTTATTACAAGAGTACCCTACTAATCCAGGGACAATCATTTAAAATAATAATAATAAAAAAATGTATTTGAAAATAATATTATAATGTTGTGTAATCTATAATACTATAGACACAGACAGTTTTACTCATTGATAACATAACTCTATAAGAGTCTTACACACATGCTGTACAGTTACATTAATTTGAGCGATGACAGCTATTATGGGAGTGGCTTGGTGGAGCGCAGGAGATGCAGATAACTTGATCTTGACCCTTAAGAAACTTTAATTAATGCTGTCACATAACAAATCTGCTTCAAAGATAAAATTACATGAATTGCTGATTACAACATTGAACAAAAATGTAAAGCCTGTACAAATACTTGTAATCGTGAATATAAATAATTGGCAATCATGTAAAAAAATATAAAATAAATAAAATAAAAACAGTGCACATTTCATATATCTATTATAACATTTACGTTTTGTTCACTTGGCTGTTTCCATATAAAGGTCCAGAAATTTGTCAAGCTTTTCGTCAGGTGTCTTTTTAAATTATATGACGTCATTACGATGCTGTCTTGCCGCCAGCCAATCGCTGCATTGCTGATCGTGGTTTCGAGTATCGATACATCTGCCCTTTACGGGGAACACGCAGTAATCTTAGACAACTTAATCCAGATATTTTAATCAGATCTGCAAATTCGTTTGAAGAACCAAAATAGCCAGAGAACAGTCATCACGATTACTAGATCTGGAATCTTTCAAATCATCTCAGATGTATTAAGCGAGGTACGAAGAACGGGCCCCTGGAATGACCTATTCTACAGCAGGTATAAATAATCTGGTCCCATCGATTGGAAAATTGATAGAAATGTATTTTTCCAACATTGGGTATAATTTCATGGAGTTTATTCATTACATATAGATCCCACTCTGTTCGTCTTTTGTTATTAACATAGGAACAAATTATTGGTTTTAAATCCATTGGAGGTACTGCACAAATTTTGAGGTCTGCCAATAATGCTTCTTTTGCAGCAGAGTCAGCTTCCTCGTTTTCTTTGATTCCACGGTGTAAAAATGTTCAGACAGTGGAAACAAATGTGCTTTTCCCCCATATTTAAATGTTTTCATCATATATAGATTCAAATTTATTTAGACAAAGTAATGAATTATTGGCTTCAAAAATTGCCTTATTTTTCTTTATTGGGTTTCCATTTTTGTCTAAAATGCACACAGAAACATAATACAAATAGCATATATAAAGAATAAAGTAATAAAGTAATAAAGAAACAAAGTTTGATGCAGAATTGAAATACATTTCAGTTCATAAGTGTGATTTCTTTTACAATGCAAAACCAACTGTAAGACAGCTATCTAATCACTCTCCTCTTACCTTCTTAGAAGCTCTTTTACCTTTCTCTCCTGTTGTTCATAAACACACACAGCATTATGGGCCTACAGAGAGCAGTCTAAAAGTCCAAGTCCTATTTAGAATTTGGAAAAAGCCCATTTGAAAATGACTTTTTACAAAAAAAAGCTTTTGTGAAAGAATAATTCCCAGCAGGAGCATGTTGACTGCTTCATTTGGATGTGGTGTTGCCATGGGATGGAGCCTGTGGCTGCTGTTGCTGCTGCTCCGCAAGCGCTTGCTGCAAGCGCGTCCGCTTCCGTGAGTAATGCTGCCAGTGCAGGATCTGCTGTTCATCTATGAACTTGGCACACTGCGCATTCACCAGCTCCTTTCGGAAATGCTCATACTGCAATAGCTCTAACATGTGCAGACAATGAGGATATCTAAGGAAATAAAAGATTTAGACTGCATTGTCCAGAAGTGTAATATGACAATCACTGTAAGAGGAAAAAATTTTTATTGAATAATGTCTGAACATCTTTAGCCAGCTGAGGTCTAGCATATAAGAATATATAATAAATATATGCTCATTTTTATTAATTTTCACATGACATGAGTTTACAAAATAAAATGTAACTAAGATTACATAAATAATAATAAAAAAGTAAAACATGAACTTACTTCAGGAATTTAGCATATTCTGGTTCTTTCCAGTAAAGTAGATACTTTAAGTAATTGACAAAAGGCTTCTCTCTCAGGTAACCTCTTTGAGCCAAAACTGCACAATGAAAAACAGGATATTTTTGTGAAAACACACAAGACCAACCTTCTAAATTTAACAATATAAATAACATGTTTAATATGAATTTATTTATTCAAACTGAAATGCCTGAAATATTTCCATATCTGGATTACTGTAACCAAGTATTTCAAATAAGCAAATAATACAATTATTTTATTACATTCAATTTTATTTATCTTACAGTTCAGGTAGTTTGGGTTCGCCAGGCACTGAACAAACTCCAACTCAAGCTGGAAACGGTGTCTTGCCTGCTCCTCTGTGAAAGTATGAATTTTGAGGGTTATCAACGCTTTTTATTTAAAATAACATTGCTAGAACAAAATGCAATATATTTAGGGACAGCCCCTTATTAATTTAATTCAGCATAATGTAAATTATATTTAACATAATACATACAGTTATACGTATACGTTTTATTACCTCACACAATCAAATCAAAACCGTAACGTTCTTCGTTTACCAAAAACAACTGTCTTATCGTTGTGTTTGCGGGCGAATATTAGGAAAACAACACGTTTACAGTCACTATCAACAAATTACAAACCTGTTTCCATAACGCCAGCCATGGCAGATGGCGAGAGAGAAAACGATATTGTAACAGCTAGAAAATGTTTGATATTTAAATGTCTGTACAAGAATACGGAGACAACATATTTCGTTTTGTTTGAAGAGATCTACGGTGCCGTCATATTTGCCAGAAAACCAGTGCTGGTGTCGTAAAAGTGTTTTACGACATTTTCACTTTCCGTCGGTGTGTGTCATATCTTTGCACTCACTACTGTATTTATTAGTAAATATGTTTGAAATAAACTGAACGTGAAACGTAGGTTAAGATATTCTCCAACCTTTAATGTTTTCTCTTGACCATGGAAGTCACTAAATCTCATTTCAGCACATTTATTAAATGGATATGCATTATATGCATTTTTTCATTTCAATAGGCGTATATCTTTATCTGGACATCAATATTTGCTGTAATATATTTTTAGTTATTATACTTTTTATTACAATTTATTCAATATTATTACATTTAATTAAGTTTATTTTTTTTTACTTTCCTTATTTATATAGGCTATATAATATTAGATTGAATATTTTTACATAAATTACACTTTTTTTTCTCAATAAAATAAAATAAGTAACAAAAGCTTTCCGTCCTTTTAGAAATGCACAGAATAATAAAATAACAGAAAGTATGTTTTCTTTTTCCACTGTGAAACATCATAATCTTCTACATGCTAAACATCTAAATATTTAAATGTATCTGTAAATGCACATTTTGTCTTACCTGGTCTTCTCCTACGTTTTAATTGGTTCAGATGTGTGCAAATGTCAGGAAACAATATTCTAAGGGAGGGAGAGAGAGAGAGAGAGAGAGAGAGAGAGAGAGAGAGAGAGAGAGAGAGACACTCACACACAAAGTGTACTGATTTAATATTGGCTACATGCTACAGGTGAAATAACAATACAAGTGTATTTATTAGTAGGGATAGGAACAAAACACATTATTTTAATTTACATTGTACATTTCAATAGTGAGAGTTTGAATTAATCTTGAACTGTACATGATTACACTATTCTGTTAAAACTGCCCTGCATGTCAGAGGTTTACACAGCTGTCCACTGTTTAGAGGTACTGTATATGCATATTTGTGCTTAAAAATCTGCATGATATCTATATGATTTTAGCCTTTTGGCTTTACACTTATATTCCTCTAAAGCTGCATTTGAAGCAACTTTATTATAGCATATTTATGAACTCTTTACAAATTTACATCCATAAACAACAACTGAACTGCACAATCACAGTACAAGTGATGACACACTATTATCTCCAGTGAAACCAACCACTGGCTCTGACCCTGTCTGGCCTTCTCGGTTGGAAACATGGTGAGAATAGTGCTGAATGGTGCAGTTTGACAGCAGACTGATGGTAGGGATTCAGCCTCTCACACTTCTGTAGTGTTTGCCCAGCTGGGAAAGGTGTCTAAACTGAAGATAGCCCTGCCCCAGCTGTTAATGGCCAAGGTAATGGAGAGGATGCCAATGATATTCATGACAATCCCTGTCTTGGCCTGCAGATAAAAATGATAATTTGGATAACCAATTTTATGAAAGTAAATTATACTTTTATTATTTCAAGGTCTACATATCAATTAAATTCTTCATTTATTTTTTGGTGAGATCCATTTTTATAAAGTTGTATAGTGCATCTAAATCTATGTCTATACATTTCACTTTGCATTTTGGATTTAATAATTCCCAATAGGGTGACAGTTCATATTATTAAAGACTATTTATTAACACTCACCATGTCAGATACTTTCAGGTATCCATATGAGAAGACTATGGCATTCGGAGGGGTGGCCACAGGTAGCATGAAGGCAAAAGATGCACTGAGGGTGCAGGGGATCATAACATACAGAGGATTGACACCTATAGACTGGGACTAATAAAACAAAACAATATACTGTTAAACCAGCTTCTTTTATTGAAACATACTATATATTGAAGTGAATTTAAAGATATGTTTTTTTTTTGATGAGTTTCTTTCTTAATTGGAAAAGATTTTAAGAAATGTAGCATTGCATCACTTGCTCACCAATGGATCCACTGTACTGAATGGATGCCGACAGAATAAGAGTCCAAACAGCTGACAAAAGCCTCACAATAATCAACGCAACTTTTTCAATGGAAAAGCTAGTATTATGTATAGAGTTAAAAATGTCCTGATTGACACAGCATTTCACTCCACAAAATGTTAATAGATAGAATGGTGTCTTGTTGAATACTTGTGGATTATTGTGATGCTTTTATCAGCTGTTTGACATTCTGACGGCACCCATTCACTGCAGAGGATTTATTGGTGAGCAACTGATGTAATGCTACATTTCACCAAATATGTTCTGATGAAGAACTCATCTACATCTTGGATGGCCTGAGGGTAAGTAAATATTCAGAGATTTTCATTTTCATTTTTTTTTTACATTTTCAAACCCTCTTTAAAACTTTCTACTTTCTACAGTGATCTGACTCAAAGCTGACACAAAGTTCTCAAAGCTTAATTGTGTTACAGGTAACAGAGGGAGGAATGGACATCCCTGGCACATACAAAAGTGTCTGCTTATCTGCCTCCAGCAATGGATGAATTAGCGAGTGAAGTTAAAAGCCCCCCTCCCCCAATGCCTGTTCTTTCTCATTCTTCCTCCCTCAACCAGACAACAATGGCACATCTCCATGGGTCTCCCATATGAGCCACTTCAGCTTTAGCTCCCTACAAATCCCTCCATTCACAGGCTCCCTTGCATAGGCTAATTCATGAGAACAGGGCAGGATGTGCCAACTCTGCACAGCAAGAAAGGTGCAACCCAGTGAGAGATTAATGGAGGAAGAAGTTGTGCTCATAAATAAATGTGTGAAAAACCTTTTCACAATTACGCAACTTGTTTTTATGTGTCTAGTATAATACTGATGTCAGATAAACTAATAAATCTTTTATTCCTTTTAAAAATCAACGTGAATGTAACATGAAATCAGTGAGAATTTGTCTCACTATTGCTGAAACAACATGAAACCATGTTGACAATCTTTAATAAAATAACTGAATCAGTAAGATTGTCTAAGTCTGTAAGATTTGTCCATGTTTTTGAAATTTTTGAAAGTCTCTTTTACTTGAATTTACTGTTGTATTTAAATTTAATGTATTTTATATAATTTATGCAAGTGTAATTTATTCCTGCGATGGCAAAGCTGAAATTTTAGCTGTCAATACTCAGTGTTTTCAGTGTCATGATCCTTCAGAAATCATTCTAATATGCTGATTTGCTGCAAGACACATTTTGTATTATCAGATTTTAGTTATTCTGCCTAATATTTTTGTGGAAAAGAAATAAGAGGAATAAATACAAAGTCTCTCTAAAAAAATAAATAAATTGTGCCCCCCCCCCCCTTGTTGTGACAGTGTACAAGGAGCATGCAAGTCATGGTAAATATTAGAAGTATACATACCATAGATGCGAGTATAGGCAGAAATAATGTTGCTGTGGCAACATTGCTGGTGCATTCAGTGAAGGTAGCTATCATCAGACACACGACAATGGCAATCGCCCGTTGTGTGGCAAACTTGACGTTACGTCTTTGTAAAGACGATGTGTGTCTTGCTATAGACAACATATCACCCGGGCATTTCTGGAAGTGGTCGTTACCTGGTGCTGGGTGATGGTCACAATCGCTGCCTCACGTGCCTGGGCCTCTAGCACACTGAGGTGGTGTTTGTGAATGAGTCATGGCTCTCATTGCGAGAAGATGTTCATCTCGGAGTTGGGGTCCAAGCTCCTTTTCCCCAAAGGGGCGGAGTGCCGTTGCCTCTGCCTCGATCTAGTTCTCGTCACGGCGGCAGTCAGGCGGGGGCTACTTCAGGCAGTAGCACGGGCGGTCTGAGGGTAACAGTGGTGGCAAATCCTCCAAGGACCAATCCTCGGGGGACCATCGCTCCTCTTGCACTCCGCAACCAGTTGAGCTGCCAATGGAACGTGCTGGGCCCTCTACAAGGATCATACCAGCCGTATCCTTTGGCGCTCCTCCCAATGACCAGATGTCGATTGCTGCATCAGAGGGTGAACCAGAGCTTTCTGGAGAGGAAGATTCGGCTGCGCTGCTCTCCTCCTGGACTGTAACAATGCCTGAATCAGATCCAGAAATAACGGCTATGCTTTCCAGGTCCGCCGTGGGGGTAGGGCTCTTTTGGAGACTTCCACCGTGTCCCGAGCCCTCAAGGTTGCACGATTGGTTCTCGGGGTGCCTCGGACCGGCTACGAGACGCCTGGGCCGGGTCCCTGCATTCTTCCTCGCTGCCCCACTGCGCCTGTAGTTCCGTTGGTGCCACTTGCGCGGCGTCTGGAAGCCTGGCTAGTGCTACCCAGCCCGTCTCGATGGCTTCTTCGAACCGTCAGGCTCGGCCATGCTATTCAGTTCGCCCGGTGCCCTCCCAAGTTCAGGGGCGTCCACTTTACTTCAGTGAAAGCAGCAGATGCCCCTGTCCTGCGTGCAGAGATCACAGTCCTGCTGGCGAAGGATGCGATAGAGCCGGTCCCTCCAGCCGATATGAAGATGGGGTTTTACAACCCCTACTTCATTGTACCCAAGAAAGGCGGTGGGTTACGACCAATCTTGGACCTGCATGTCTTGAACCGGGTCCTTCACCGGTTACCGTTCAAGATGTTGACGCAGGAACGCATCTTCGGGTGCAACCGTCCCCGAGATTTGGTTTGCAGCGATTGACCTGAAGGACGAGTACTCCATGTGTCGACCCTTCCGCACCACATACCATTGCTACGGTTCGCGTCCGAAGAACGAGCATATCAGTACGAGGTCCTGCCCTCCGGGCTGTCCCTGTCGCTCTGGGTCTTCACGTAAGTTGCGGAGGCATCCCTTGTTCCCCTGAGAGAACAGGGCATTCGCATTCTCAACTACATCGACGACTGGCTCATATTAGCTCAGTCTCAGAATCAGTTGTGCGAACAAAGGGACTTGGTGCTCTCGCATCTCAGCCAGTTGGGTCTTCGGGTCAACTGGGAAAAGAGCAAACTCTCCCCGACGCAGAGGATCTCTTTTCTCGGTATGGAGTTGGACTCGGTCGAACAGACAGCACGCCTCACGCAGGAACGGGCTCAGTCGGTGTTGAACTGCTTGAATACATTCAAGAGCAGGATGGCGGTCCCACTGAAAAAATTTCAGAGGATCCTGGGAGACCGCTTCAGCACTGGCTCCATGGCCAAATCCCGAGGTGGGCATGGCAACGCGGCACTCACTGGGTCCTGCTGCCAAACCTTCACCCTGTGGTCAGACCTTGCATTTCTCTGGGCAGGAGTGCCCCTAGACCAGGTCTCCAGGCATGCTGTGGTTCACACGGATGCCTCAACCACTGGCTGAGGGGCCACGTACAATGGGCTTGCAGTGTCAGGGTTTGGACGGGGCCCCAACTGCACTGGCACATCAACTGCCTTGAGTTGCTGGCAGTGCACCTTGCCTTGATCCGTCTCAAAGGGCGCTTACAAGGCAAGCATGTACTAGTCCGCACGGACAACATTGCGAAAGTTGCGTACATCAACCGATAAGGTGGTCTGCGCTCCTGTCGCATGTCGCAACTTGCCCGCCACCTCCTCCTTTGGAGTCAGAAGCATCTGAAGTCGCTTCGTGTTGTTCAAATTCCTGAGGCTGCTCAACCGGGCAGCCGACGAGCTGTCTCGAGCTGCGCTCCCGGGAGAATGGCGACTCCATCCCCAGACGGTCCAGTTGATTTGGAGATGTTTCGGAGCCACTCAGGTAGACCTGTTTGCCTCTCCAGAAACCTCTCACTGCCAGTTGTTCTACTCCCTGACCGAGGAAACACTCGGCTCGGATGCACTGGCACTCAGCTGGCCATGGGGCCTTCGCAAGTATGTGTTTCCCCCAGTGAGCCTTCTTGCACAGACACAGACACAAGGTCAGGGAGGACGAGGAGCAGGTCCTGTTAGTGGTGCCCTATTGGCCCACCCGGATCTGGTTCCCGGAACTAATGCTCCTCGTGACAGCCCCGCCTTGGCTGATTCCTCTGAGGAAGGATCTACTGACTCAGAGACGAGGCACCCACGTCCAGACCTCTGGAAACTTCATGACTGGTCCCTGCGAGACGCGGCGGTTCTAGGTGACCTACCCCAAGAGGTAGTTGACACCATCACTTCAGCGAGAGCACCGTCTATGAGACACGCTTACGCTTTGAAGTGGAACCTGTACACTGAGTGGTGTTCTTCTCACCGAGAAGACCCCCGAAAATGCCCGATCAGAGTCGTGCTGTCTTTTTTGCAGCAAGGGTTGGAGTGAGGGCTGTCTCCCTCCATCCTCAAAGTCTATGTCGCTGCAATCGCTGCTAACCATGACCCCGTAGAAGGGAAGTCGCTGGGGAAGCATGACCTGATCAGCAGGTTCCTTAGGGTGGCGAGAAGGCTAAATCCTCCACGCCTCCCCTCTATACCCTCTTGGGACCTGACTCTAGTGCTCACAGCACTACAGCATGGCCCATTTGAGCCTTTGGAGACAGTCGAGCTGAAGTTTCTGTCAATGAAAACTCGTCTCCTGCTTGCACTGGCCTCCATCAAGAGGGTAGGTGACCTGCACGCATTTTTGGTCGACGATTCGTGCCTAGAGTTCAGGCCGGCCGACTTCCGATCCCGCCCCGGCTATGTGCCCAAGGTTCCCACTACTCCCTTCAGGGATCAGGTGGTGAGTCTGCAAGCGCTGCCCCCGGAGGAGGCAGACCCAGCCCTAGCTTTGCTCTGTCCCGTCCGAGCCTTAATGTGCTACGTAGACCGGACACAAAGCTTCAGGACCTCAGACCAGCTCTTTGTCTGTCA